GGAAGACGAAGTATTTGAAATAGGTGGGACTGAAGATGGGTTCTCCTGTTACAGGGGAAGCTTAAACAAGAGAGGTATTTGTGTTGTGTAGAAATGAGCAGTAATTTCTCCAGTGTTGGTGGGAGACGGCACACACAGGGCAGGTGGGAGATGAGGTTTGGGAGCAGACATTTTACAGGCAGACAAGACCGGGGAGGAAACTTCAGGCCAATGGGGTAGTTTGTGCACAGGGGTGGTGTAAACCATGGTATGTTGAGAAACTCTGTAAAAAAGCAATAGGTAAAAGATTTCTGATAGCCCCAAAAACAATCTAAATCATGGTGCTGGTTTGAACATTTCTTTGTATCAAATATGGCTTAAAATAATCGCCATTGACTAAAATGTGTTAAACAGAGATTTGATTTAAAAATCGCTTTGTGGCAGAGGAGTTGGGCCTTGCTGCGTGTTGTCACTGACAGCACCGAGTGCTGTGTGGCTCATCAAGGCCAATACTTGCAGACCCTTGCAAGGATTCCACGAACTTTCAGCAATACCACATATTTCTGCGTCATAGGCAGAGTCACTCAGCATTGCCCCTAGAAATCACACTTGGAGGGAAAAAAAGTCTCATCTGTCAGAATCCAAATGTGTTTCTTTAACATGTACAGGTCTGGAGATTTAAATATGTCCATTGACGTTAATGCTAAGAATAGTTTTTCCTGCATATAAGTAGATCTGATCCACCTGACATTTTGTGACCATTTATTAATACTCAAGGAGGGTTTGTAAATTGGCTTTGGAATTCACTGCCCAAATAACCCTGACTTTAGCTCAAAGACTGTTATTGCACAGAACGAATAGAATATAGCATATTACGTTTCTAATTCTCCTACAGGTACAGGATATTTGTGATGCTTAGTGTTTTATTTTCAGCAGTAAGCACCAAAAATCACAAAGCAAATACTAAGGTTGAATATTTGGTTTATAGATTTTCTAAACATGGATTCAGTTCTAATCCCGAGACCAATATTTTGTATTTGTACTGATACAAACTGGCACATTTAAAGGGTGACCTTCAAGTAGACAACTCTAAGGGGGAATTTGTGTGTGTGTGTGTGTGTGTGTGTGTGTGTGGGAGAGAGAGAGAGAGAGAGAGAGAGCCCTGTGAGAGGAGAGAGACCCAGCCCTGTGGTTTCTATTGAAGGCACTGATTCCACCCAAAGGAAAGAGGACCCCAGGTCTGTCCTGTAACATGGGGGACAGTGTGTCCAACATTTCCACTGGTACAAAGGTTTCTGTAAAACAACTGAAAAAATGGAACTTTATTAAATTTCCAAATCACAGACACCATTTCTAAACCTGCACAGGTCTACATACTTGTCAGAGGCTCTACCCTGCTTTTCTTGCCTTTGAGATGTTCACTCTTTGCGTTTATCATGATGTTAAGCTTAATCCAATGACTAATAGCTCTGGTCTCTTTCAGTGTCCAAGACACCGTCTCAGTCACTCAGAAAGCCACCACTAAAAATCAGTGTAGTGTTAGGTTGCAGACAGTGTGACTCATTGCGGTATCAAAAACTAGTGGTGCAAAACCATAGGGAAAGCTAATCTAGACAATGCCCAAATCCTGTCTGTCAGTGAGATTCCTCCTCTAAAAGGTGACTTCATAGGACCACATTCCAGAAAGAACAGGTAGAATTCTTGGCAGGGCTGCAGGGTGCAAGACTGAGGGAACTGGACCCATTCAAGGAAATAGTTTGCAGAATATTCACTCTGCTAGAAACAAACAAAACAACCTTTTGTGCTCTCAGAGGTTTTACGATGTTATACTAAAACATCTGTGCAGTGGAATTTAGATGGGAACCCAGAACCCAAGGCCTTGAGAGGCTGCCGTGCTGAGACCCCGGCTGTCCTGTGTTAACCCCTGTGAATTGCGGGAGGCGTTGCCTCCCATGGTCTGAGCATGGACCACGCTGCGCAGGTGTTAGTGGACTCAGCGGTTCCTCCGTGTCCACCTCTGTTGGACTTCAGACTAACCTGGGCTCACAGAGGGAACCTGGCCATTTCCGCCCTCCTGAGTTCTCCCTCAAAAAATGCAGTTTTCAGGAAAACCCTGGCCAATCAAGAAAAAAGGCATTTCTCCCTTCTGGCACTTTCTTTTGTGGCATTTTGCTGGTGGCATACCACCGGACTTGGCTTCCTTGCTACGAAAGTCAACTAAGCATTCTATCCATCTTGCTGCCAATCTCTGTGTTTGGGTGAAATTCTTTCCACAGATTTTATTTCTTTCTAACCTTTTGTCTTTTATTGTAGAGAAAGATTGTTAGAAGAAATTCTCTTTTTCTATTCGGGGCATTCTAGCCAAAATAAAGTACCAGTTTATAATTACAAATAATAACACAGCTTTTGTCATATATAGAAGAGAGAAAATTTAAACGCCAGTGATTTTCAAAGCTTGTAGTATAATGGAAAAACTTTGCACGCCAGATAAGAAAAGCAAATTCCTGGGACCCACCTGTTCTACTAGAGGATGTATAAACCTCACCTGTTTTGAATCTCACAGTATTCTTACTCTCTTGTTTGATTAGTCTTAAAAGGCCATCTCGAATGATATATTTTTGTGGTATAATATGTAAGATAAAGATAATCACTCGAGAAGGCCACTGAATTCTTGATTCTACTACTTATTCTCTCCAAAACAGTTTTACACAGTTGGCGAATTATCCAATCCACGGTAATACCTGCCCTCAGCATGGAGAAAATGAAAAATCAAAATGTAAAATTCTAGAAGTGTGGTAGTGATAGAATTGTTAATCCATGCCTGAACCAAAAGAAAACTGAGCAGTTCCTTTAGGGGATATCTATATCTACCTATGTATATGCATTGAATTAAAAATCACACAAAGTTACAATTTTGTAGCATTTTTTCCTACCTTTGCAGCCGTTTGCTTATCAGTCCTTTCTGGTTCAGGTTGCTATAAATTTATGAACAGGATTGATACAAAAGTAACACGGGCCACATGCTTTCACTCCAGGGTTCTCTTTCCACATTTTAATAGGAAATTTCTGATGAACACTCTCAAGAAATTCGGGTTTTGTGATTTTCCGAGTGTGATTATTGTTGCTACACAGTTGCCTGTGGAAAACAAATAGTGATCGTTGTTTGCGCTTCAGCCAAATGTCATTGAAGTTAAATAAACAAATCCATAAAACCAAGAGAAAACAAAAACTTTGGGTCTGGCATCATGGTATGAGATCTAAAAATAATCACGTTGCTTTATTTTATTTGGTGTTTAGTTTCAAAGTGTGTAGGGCTCTGGTAACCCAATTTCCTTTTCTTTTTCTTTTCTTTTTTTTTTTTTTTTTCAGTTAAGAGTTGCTTATCCTTCTTTGCTACTGTTCACACTCAGTGTAACTGTAACAACTAAATACCTATGAACAGCCGGATAGGGTAGCCAGATAGATACAGTGTTGCAAACCGCAAAGGATTACAATGGCCCCTCTCCTACTAAGTGTGCAATCTGGTCATACAACTCTATAGTCTTCCTATCTAACAGAGACTTTAAAAAGTAAATTATATTTCTAATGTCTGTGACTAGGCTGCCTTTCTGTCAACTTTTCCTGGCTGACACATGCTCATCCTTCAGACCGTAAACGTCACCTGTTTCGGTAGGAGTTTCTGGTCTTCTATATGGCTACACGTCCCCGCCACACGAGGTCCGCACGCCCTCAGGACTCTACGTATTATATCTGCTCATCCTTTTTTTCACTCTCTGTGATTGTATCTTCTTCTCCATTTAATCCTTCGCCCCAAGAACATTTCAGGCCCATAGCAAATCATCATTAAATTATTTCCAACTGCATGGCAGTGGCATAGAAGATAATGTATGTGGAGTAATATAAAAGGCACAATACCAAGCAGTGGAGTTACTTTGTTTCTATTAATTTCAACAAGTATTCCACGAATAGACACTGGGCAGAAGTATGCGTGTAATTATATCTCCACCTGATGGCAAATGCAGAGAGATGCCTTCTAGGTGTTGCGTCCATGACTCAAAACCAGGGCTGCGCTGAGGATATTAAAAAAAGAAAACTCACATGCAAAGGATGTAGCACGATATTATCATACAATAACACAATCTCAATTTTGACACAGAGCTTAGATTTCATTGAGTTCAAGTTCCACCTACTGCAGTCTTCTGTTCCACAACATTTTGGCATATTATTGTTGAGATTTGGGTTAAATAGTGTGGCATAAGTGAAATTATGTGGCTATTCTAGTTTCCTGAACAGCCTATAATTGGTCTAAGATTTGAGCGTTTTACAAAGGAATTCACTGAAGGCTGAGAAGTGATACCAGTAAAAAACAGATCGCTTTCTCTTTGTTTGAAATTAGAAAGGCACTCTGAAGAAATAAATTCAGTTGTTCAGGTGAAGAAGCTAAAATACAAGGTGATCCTACTGATTCTTTCTTTCCATCAGTCACGGAGCTGAAATGAAGTGTTTTTGAAAGACATCCTCTATTCCCTTTAGCCATTTAGCACCAACTCCTCAGAGAACTGAAATGACCACGTGTCAGAGAAGAGTTGCTGTTGGAAATGCTTATTTCCAAACACAGCTGTTCACCTTTCATCTGGTTTCTAAAGTTTCCAGAGACCTCTGTGGCCATTAAGAGTACTTATTTGCTAGGCTTTTAGAGAAGAGTGCAACCTCAAACTACGTGCATTTACTAAAAACTCAGCTGAGAAAAATATTTGCTAAGGTTTAAAGAGGAGCGGAGCCAGTCACTCTGCACGAATCAAGAACGGTCCGGTACGGGTCTCCTAGAACAGCAGGACTCCATCCGAACGCTTCCCTCTTCACATCCTGCTTCTCGGGGTCCCAAGTCACCTCCTCTTGGAGTGGCGCCAGGCTTCGGAAGTCACCCAAAAGGAATCGACTGTGTTTTGGGGGTGCAGGGTTCTAGACATGCTCTAGGCGTGTTTCTCTACATTTTTAATTGGTTCTATTTTTGTTTCCAGCGGGCCACTGCGGGTCCCCAGACCCCATCGTCAACGGGCACATCAGTGGGGATGGCTTCAGCTACAGGGACACGGTGGTGTACCAGTGCAATCCCGGCTTCCGGCTGGTGGGCACGTCGGTGAGAATATGCCTGCAGGACCACAAGTGGTCTGGACAGACTCCCGTTTGTGTCCGTGAGTAAACTGTTTGTGGGATGGTTCGCCAGATCCTTCCTTCTGTCATCTTTTCTTGTTGCTGTTGTTGCAAAGTCATAACAGAAACAGGTTGAATCTTCAGAGCAAAGCAGGATAGAGAGTTCGCAGTTTTGCCTGTGCAAAGAGAGAGAGAGTAGCATCACCAGTATATTCACTCTTCCCCTTTCATCGTCTTTTTCCCATTCTGTTTCCTTTGAACACCTCCTTCAGACTCCCGTACACATTTATTTTGCTCACTAATTCATTTTAAATGGAACCCTGGACAAGTGATCGTGTATTCATTTTCCCTGGTTTTATCACAGTATAAACTAGGTGGGAACAAAAGCTGCTTTCCAGAGGGTCAATAAAGATGCAGAGTCTGGGTCTGTAAGTTAATGTTGCAGATTCCTAAGCATAGCTACTCCCTGAGCCTTCAGTAGTGTTTGTATCTTTGCCCTGTGCCATCAGAATAGTGTTGTAAGAAGTCCTTCCTTTAACAGAAAGAGGTGACATTATGTGAAATGATCAGCCTCAAGCTCTGTAACTTCAAAGATAAATATCAACTACTCTTTTAAGAATAGAAGTACCTTCTCTTTCCTGCAAAATTCCTCTAACGCCAATTGTTTTACTAATATATCCTTTATTTTCCCGTGAATTATGCAAAGGAATTGTCGATCCAACTCTAGGGCTTTGAAAGCCGGCTGTCTGTGACAGCGCTGTGGAAAATGGACCAAGTTCAGGGGTGAAAGCTTTACTTGGAAGAAAAAAACTTGTTGACGAGATAAATGAGGAAGAAAACACCCATTTTATGACCATAATGTGTTTCTTTTGAAAGGGCCAATGACGGATCTCTCCCTGCCGTCTTGCTGGTATTAATATTTGGGGCATGACACAGTGACAGTTCACTGCATCTCAAAGGAGCATACAATAGGAATTGTCAACAAAAATACTATTCAAATGTGCATAGTTATTTTGCTAATTTCATGCTGTTTAAATTGATACGGGAATAATTTTACATGGAAAATTTAAAGCCTCAAGCAAATCCCCATCATGTTTCAAAAGGGAAGTTTTACAAAATCAGTTCATGTGTATGAGGGAGGAAATATTCAAAACTCATGATTAATGCAAGAATTTGTAGCCTGTCTTTGTTTTTCACTGCTTCCTTTTTAAATCACTTGGTATTACTCTGTCATGATTTGAGCAAGAAATAATAATTATTATGATGAAGAAACAATATGGTTGGCAGGTGCTGGTTATTTTCCACAATTGTAATAAGCGCCTATAGGTTCAGCCTGGGATTCTCTATCCCAATGTTCCTTTCCAGATATAAATGTCCTCTTTAAAATGTCTGATTAGTTGAAAACCCTTCAATCTGTATATTTAGCGTACCTGCATATTTATAGTAAATAATCCCGAGTGAAAGTGCTGACCTGTTTAATACTGAGCATCAACCTCGACCTTTCTCCCCACAGCCATCACGTGCGGTCACCCTGGAAACCCCGCCCACGGGTTCACCAACGGCAGCGAGTTCAACCTGAACGACGTCGTGAACTTCACCTGCAACACGGGCTACCTGCTGCAGGGCGCCTCCCGCGCCCAGTGTCGGAGCAACGGCCAGTGGAGCAGCCCTTTGCCCACGTGTCGAGGTAGGAGAGGCCTCCGGGAGGTGAGCCCTTAGCTCTGGGAGTGTGGCAGGACGTACTCTTCCTGCATGTGCTGCTTTCAGTAAGAAGTAATTTAAAAGCCCGTGAGTGTCACTGAGATCAATACTGAAAGAACGGCGGTCCACAATACAGTTCAAACCAGTGGCTCTTTCTTCTCTGGAATATCAAAATGGATTATATCCAGTGAGGGGGATGAACTGACCATTGATTGAGGGTAAAACAGCCCTTGTTGCTTGGACATGCACGTTTTAGCAGCTTACTTAACAGTGAAGTGGAAAAACATATTTTTTAAGCTCCGATACTTGACGGTAGAGCAGGGAATCACTCAGGTTTTCACGTGTGTGGCATTCGACTTAAACGAAATCCGCCGTGGCATTTGTATTCATTGCCTCTTTGCAGTGAATAAGGGAACCTTATTGAAAACACTAAGCGCCACTTCCCCTCTGTGTTTTCACGACACTGAAATCCTCGAGTGGGAAACGCAGCATTGGCTCAAATAACATTTGTTTATTTAAAAACATGAGTACTCTGTTCTCGAATACCTTCTTTTCTCACCGTAGTTGAATGCTTCAATGGCTTGTTTTCATGCACATCTTTGTTCTTTTTAAAAGGGGTGTGTTTTTATTAAACAATTAACAAGTTATGCTTTCAAGAATAAAGTTAGGCATAAGAAAATGGCGATTTTGAGCTGTGTCTGCTGTAAATATTTGTAAATTCTAGATTGCTTTTAAAAGAAATGTTTCATAATCTGTGAATCTTTGCAAAAGTTTTAGGGTAACGCCGTATCTGGTTTTAGGAATCCTTCCAATTCTTTTTTGTTGGTTATAAGCTTTTGTACTGTTTGTTATTTCCAGTTAACTCGCTGATTACATTTCCAAAACAAGAACTCTCCCAACAGTTGCAATTTTATCTGTAGATGTACATTTAGTATGTTTTAGTTCTTATCCTGTTAGGGAAATTTTAAATAATTATGTAATCTAACATCCTAAAATTTATCAGCAAGTTATGTGTCTTAAGAACTAATTCAGGGTTACAGTTATTAATGGAAACATGTTGAGTGTCTATGTAGTCTGTATGTAAGGCGAACAGGTATCCTTAATACCGAACCTTAGAAATAAGAGGCCCGTTAAAGGACTAGATGTCAGGAAAATCGACTTTTCGATGAGATGTGTCATCTAAGGTTTTGCTCCCAAAAGAGATGAAGCGGAGTTTATCTGAAATAGTGTATCTATTAATAATATAGCAGTCCAGTTGCTGCTGTTAATGTACCATATGGAAAACAGTCTAAAAGGGGAGAGAAATTATCACATTAAAATATAAAAAAGAGAGACAGTAGGTACGACAAGACGAGAATATGTCCACTTTTCCTAGAGAAGATGCATCCAACCCACGAGTTCACGTAGTGGGTGCAGAGTTTCTTGAAACTGTCCCGTTTGGCCAGCACCTCGCGTGGCACGGGGTCTTTATGCTCCAGGTGAGTGCTCACTGAACACATAAAGGGGAATTGCCATCCCTTCCGCACTCCTTCCCAGTGTGGAGAGGATCTGTCATTCAGAGCAAAGACATCCAAGCTCCTTTGTTCTCACTCTCCACGGCTGCTGGCTGTATCGGGTTCGGAGAGGCGGGAGTGGAATTCTTCCACAGAGATGCAGGTGGTTTCTGGTTCAGAAGCTCCTACTGATCCCTGGACAATGCGGGTGGTCTGGTCAGTATGAAAATTAACAAGTAGATCTCATAGCTTATATGTTATTATTACATAATAATGCGTTAAGGGAGACCGTCTTTCTTGTAAAGCCAGGGGTCGTGGAAAATGGTGAACAGATTGAGGGATTATGCCGAGTGTGTCTCTCAGTGCAGACTGCTGGCATTTCTAAGTAAAATCTTGCCGCTCCCCCACCAAGACACGCTGGCAAACACTGAGTATTGATTGACTATTGTGCTAAATATAGCTGAAATCATCACGATTGCTCACTCAGGTCTACACTTCTCTTATGTCGATGGAAAACGGTGAGGGCCAGGATGGCCAGGGGAAGACATGGCTGTTGGTGCCAGGCACTTGCTAACGCAGATGCAAGGATTTAGGGAAAGATTAAACAGCTTTAATCAAACTGTTTCACCTGCTGTGTATGACAGAAAAAAATAGCACAGCTGAAGGAATGAGTAAGAACAAATGCCCACAAATTTTGGTCCCAGTTATCTTCACACGGGAGTCCAGGGTAATTGTGTCTTGATGACTTAGGTGTATCAGAATGTTCTGTATCCATCCCCCCAGAACCGTGTAGTCAATGTAATTTAGCATTAATTAAGCACCTCCTGTATTGCAAATGCTGTGCTAGACACTGTTGGTACAGAGGTGGCTACAATAACTCTTTAAGTAGCCAACGGTCCGGGCAGCCAGAGGAAGAAGCAAGTCAGGCAGGAAGACTGTCACCCCTGCTGCTGAGACATGTGTCCCCTTGACACATGGTGTATCCTTGCAGAATGAAAGATCAGACGAACTCACAATAGTGAGCTTTTAACTATCCAAAACTATTTCTGTATCTATATCCCCTTTTCCTCTAACTTACTGCAAGAAAGAAGAGAAGAAATGAAATACCTATCATTTATTAATCGTTTTCAGTGTTTCAGATCCTGGGCTTGGTCCTTTAGA